GTAGTGAGGAGACAAGCTTAATAGAATATGTGGTTGCACTGCATGTTAATCTTAATAAAAGGCAGACTGAAAATAACAGGAAACCAGGAAGAAATTGGGACAGATGGCTGAACAGCTCAAAGATAGGAAAAACAACGTTTCCCTGCACAGGGCTTTCAAAAGCAAACCCCTCTCCTGTTGAGTTCAATAGATAAAAAGGCAACAAAGAATGAGAAGACGGAGAGCCAGGACTAAAATGTTCCTGGTGACTGTTCTCTGAAGACCTTCTCCTAGCCCCACCTCGCTTCCTCCCCCGCCCTCCACTGAAGGGCAGACTGCACCTGGAGCAAGGACAAGTCTTCGACATGGAAAGAACATAGACCGGAAAGAACACCGCCATCTGCCTCACTGGCCCATTGTGCAGCATTTTAACCTCCAGAAGTCATAACACAACGAGGGGCGCCACCAGCCTGGAGGACTCAGCAGCGGGGCATGAGGGACGCCCATGAAGCAGGGAGGGGAGACACCGTCACGTCCACGGACTCTCCGTGTCGGTCCAGTAGCATTATTTGTTGTTGTCAGCTTGTTTCTAGGCCAGTGGAAGACTTAAAGAGCCTAAACAGTCACAGAGGAGAAAAGTTAATTTGTCATTAAAGGATATCCTTCTAACCCACTGACATGGAGGTGGAACCAAGAGCGGATCCCTTTAGTATTTCAAATGGCCAATGGAATAAATGTTGGAAAATTGGCAAAGCAACAGTTCCCAATAGGTCCTCTGAGGGCCATCTGCATCTTACGCCTTTGGGATGTTTCCTTAAAATGCAGATTCCTGAGCCCACCCCAGCTATTAATTCATTGGGGCCCAGGAATCTGCACCTTCCAAACATTTTAAACATATATGTTGTATCTTATATCCAATATCTGAAGTCCTCGGATGTCTACATTTCTACTGGCTCTTTTTCAAATGGGCTTAGGAACTGGAGTTAATGTTAGACTGGATTTTATTTCTAGAATCCAGAGATACCTGGGCCAAGGGGGCATCCCCAAAAGGGCAAATATTTTGGTGTCTGCGCTCCATGCCTCTGTTCCGCCAACCCAGGAACTCAGAGTGGCTTTCTGGGCTTGGGTCTTCGCAGACCACACAAGTGGTGTGAGGTCATGAACAGGCAAGCCTCCAGTACAATCCACAGGAGAGAGCCCACCCTCGCCCCGCCCGGAACTCAGACCAAGAGGATTAAAGCCCATGGCACTTCCCTTTGCCAATGATAGATTTCATTTTTACTTTTTGGCCTGACTTTTTAATGAGGAAAAATCCCTTTAGGAGAGATGGATGTGTGGGAAATTCCAATTCTCACTCTGCACCTTGGGTGAGCATCAGACCTTGTCTTCTGTTCCTCTCTAGCCTAAAATACATGACTCACTAGATTATTGTCCCTTGAGGCAGCTGTGGCTTTAGTACCTAATTACGTCTCCAAGTCACTGCTGCCCCTTCCAGTTTCTGGCCCCAGGAATTGTCCTTTCCTGATCACAGGCTCGGTTATGCATTTATAATAATGTCAGTGTTCCTCTATGCAGCATTTCTAGGAGTTGGGTAATAGGAAGGTTTTTCAGACTCTGTGGCCTTAAGTATTGCTGGAAATAGAAGTTTTTGAAACTGCATTCTTCACCAAAAAGGATTCTTATCCACACTCTAAAGTTTGAGAACATTGTAAACTAAACAAGTGGTGACACTTTATGGTTGTAGAACAGTAGTTTTTAAAAAGGTTTTCCTATTCACTTATTTCATTTCATCCTTGGAACAACCTTGCCAAATAAGCAGGGCTGGTATTTTTATCCCCAGCTTTCTGATGATAAAGCCTAGTCAGGCTAAGTTGCCTGCCTAAAGATAGGAAAGTAGATAAAGAGCGAAAATGAGGACCGGAGCCCACACCTTCTGCTATTTGATCTATTGCATCACGTTCCATTATGCCCAGGGGGAATTTAGGATTCCAAGAGACTATTCTCTATCACATGACTCCCAAGTCACGGCTTTCCATATCAATTTACAGGAGGAAGAGTCAAGTTTTCTTTGGTGTCTGTGGGTCTGTTTTCCTTCTCTGTGCATGTCAAAAATTGAAGCTCTATTCTGTGGTTGCAGGTACCTGTAAAAGTGATTAAAAAACACCTGGCTATCACTTTTTGAGTGATCTCTGCAGTACATTAACATGATTTCTCAGAGCATCCTTTATCTTTAATAATCCTCCCTCAACTTTGTAAGAATGTTACATTGCTGTGTCCCTAGAAGGGTCTCCACAAGGGCTTTCCTGCCAGTAGGAACGTCTTCTAACTTGTACCCAACTGCTGAGGGGTTAGACCCCATTTAACATATGTTTATATTCCCCACCCTGCAATTCATGGGGGCTAGCTGAATTTTGGAACCACTTTTCAGCCTTTAAGAAAGACTAGGGGGCTGCCAACCACTCATCAGGGAAATTCCAGTTCTCACTCCGCACCTTAGGTGAGCATCAGACCTTGTCTTCTGTTCCCCTCCAGCCTAAAATACATGACACTCGATTACTGTCCTTTGATGGTCCACCATTCTCCATGGCCCACCTAGGAGTGGGCTCACCACTAGATCTCAGGCACGTCACTGCTTCTAGGTCTACATTTGGTCATTTACCCCATGTTCATTCCACACCAATTGAGAGCTGACAATGGACTTGGAACCAAACTAGAGACTCTCTGGTACCCAGCCTATGTTTCAGTATTCTACAGGGAAATTAACACTATGGAATCACCACTTTAGTTTCAGGTTGCTTCCAAGGGCCTTTTGGCAAACAATCATGCAACTCAATTATTTTTCTGCTCTGCCTGGTGTTAACAGAGTCTTCCTTTCGTACTCACAGATGCCCCTGCTTCCTCCAGTGTCTGGAGTTCACAGAGACTAAGTGTCTTCCATGGAGAAGATGGACTAACGATTTTTTCACAAGCAAAATTGCCATGAAAACTTAAAAGAATTTGTTTAAAGGAAAGTTAATTAATTTTATTTTACTGGTATTGTTTAAATGCCTTTGAAATGTCTGCCTTTTTCCTTTCAGGGGCACGTTGATTTTCTTTAGTCCCTTTAGCACATAGTGATTTACATGCATGTGAGAACTTGACTAGTCTAGATCACGGCAGTCAGTAGGAGGAGGGGAGAACTCACAGCTGTACATTCACTCAAGCAAAAACTCAATTGCCACCCAAAAACTGAGGTGGATTTAAGTTAAACATACCAATGCGCAAAGGTCAAGTTATACCATTAAGTTAAAAAAAAAAAGTTAAGTTATAAAACAAGATATAAGGTTTGATCCCATTCATGTAAATGCTTAGAAAGTGGTCGATTTTGAGAAAGAAAATGGAAAACCAAGAAGGTAAAAGGCTCTCATTTTTTAAAAAGTCAAAAATGCATCAGTGCATGAGAAAAATGTGAAAGCATTCAGGTATAATATTTTTAACAATTATATCTGAGCCACCAAAGAGTCCCTATGTGATTATCGTCTATGACTATCCTCTAAAATCACCAGATATGGAGACAATTCCAGAGTTCTCCTTGCTTATAAAAGTGCCTGACTTGTCTTTCTCCACATACAGAAATCACAGAATAATTTTAGTAATGGTTCACATTGTATCGAGCTGTTAATGAGGAACCAACCACAGTTCTAGCTGTGAAGGTGTCAGCCTGAAAGAGTGCTAAAATCCAACACCTTTGGGTCACGGCTGCTCCAGAATGTCTACACAGGCAGGGCCTAGACACAGCCATCTGAAAGGGGCTGGGTGAAAAAGGTGAAGGGATGAAGTAAAAAAAGAAAAAAACAAATTGACAGGCATGGACAAGAGCATGATGATTACCAGAGGGAATGAGGGGGCTAAATAGCGATGGAAGGAGACGTGACTTGAGTGGTGAACGCACAATACAGTGTACAGACAATGGATTATAGAATTGTACACCTGAAACCTATATAATTTTATTAGCCAATGTCACCCTAATAAATCCAATAAAAATTTTAGAAAAAGAAAAAATATAAATGAACAAGAGCATTGTGACACAGTTCTGAATTAATGAATTAGGTGACTTAGGATAGTTTCCAGCATTGTGGCCCTGTAAGATCCCAGGAACATGGTGCTAATTGGTTTGAAGGCAAACATTTCTATCAAGGAATGGAGAAACCTTCCCCCAAATTCTGAAGATTCAAGATGATCACTAGGTTGGTTGGACTGAGGATGAGTGTGAAGTTGGAATACGAAAGTAGAATATAAAGATACATGGCACCCGTGAGGAAGCTTTGAGAGTTATGGTTGGGTATGTTAAACAGAAAGCTTTGGACTCAGAAGATACCCTTTGTCAAGTCTATATTCCTACTCCACTAGGAATTTTCTTTTAAGATTTTATTTAATCATTTTTAGGGAGAGGGGAAGGAAAGGAGAAAGAGAGAGAGTGAAATGGCAATGTGTGGTTGCCTCTCTTACACCCCTTACTGGGGACCTGGTCCATAACCCAGGCATATGCCCTGACTGGGAATCGAACCAGCAACCCTTTGGTTCACAGGCTGCCACTCAATCCACTGAGCCTCACCAGCCAGGGCTCCACTGGGAACGTATGTAAGTGCAATGAGATGCCATTGGAGAGTTTTGAGCAGAATATCATATGATCTGATAAAAGTTTTAAAAATATTTTCCTGGGACATAGACCAAACTATGGGGGCAAGAATGAAACAGGGAAATGTAGACTCTGTGGCAGAAGTCCAGACAAAAAAAGAGGTGATGATGCGTAGAGTGGGATAGCAGAATGGCAAAAGATATGGCGAGGAGGATCTATCTTGTAAAGAGAGCCAACCAGACTTTCTATTGGACTGAACTCCAGTTACACCAATTTATTCAACACTCAGGTTTTGGTGCTTGTGCCAGAGTCTACAGCGATCAGTAAGATTTGGTGGAATCTCTCGATGAGCTCTCAATTAGCATTAAAGAGTCAGTTTGGCAAAACATTAAAATAAAAATCTGTCCAAAGCATTGAGTTCGATTCGGGGCGGCTTCCCTGTTCTGTTAATTAAACTTTGGGACATTGGAACACAAGCTAGGGGAGACGATCGGACAGAAAGCAAGGCTCTATTCGCTTACCTCCCAGTCCACAAAAAAAGGAAAAAATCTAAAACATAACGACTTTGTCTTAATAATTTTTAAAACACAAAAATAAACAATTTCCCGTGAAAATATAACTTAAACATGACAACAGAAGACATAGTAAATATAAGTAGAATTAGTGTCCATCACTATGTGAGCGCATCAAACAACTATGGGACATTTACACAATGGAATACTACTCAGCCATAAAAAAGAAAGAAATCTTACCATTTGCAACACCATGGATAGACCTGGAGAACATTATGCTATATGAAATAAGCCAGTCAGAGAAAGACAACCACTATATGATTATACTTATATGTGGAATCTAATGAACAAACTGAACACGCAGAATGGAGACAGACTCATAGATGGAGAGCAGATGACAGCTAAGCGGGTGGAGGGGTTGAGCAGAAAGGAGAAAGGACTCACGGACAAGGACAACACCGTGGTGACTGTGGGCAAGGGGGCTATAAAGGAGGTAAATGGCAATGGAAAAAATACAATAAGGAATAATCTTTAAAAAAGAAGACATAGTAAATGTAAATACAATAATAGCATTTTCAAAATTAAATCAATATTTATACACGAGAACCAGACAAGCACTAAGACTGTTTTAAAGGTCAATTTTCCCCAGTTTTAGGGAATAAGTAATCTTAATGTCAAACAAACTACTGCAGAGAACAGAAAAAGGCAGCGAGCCCTCCCGTTCATTCTATGAGACAAGAACAACCTTATCTGAAAAACAGATGAAAAATTACAGTGAAGAAAAGAATCAGCCAACTCACTGAGCATCGATATAAAAACTTTTTCAAAAATTGTCAGACAAACTTCAATAATGTCAACCCTTTACCTCATACCATATAAAAGTATTAATTCAAAATGGGTCCTAGACATACATATAAAACTTAAAATTACCTATAAATCTTCTAGAAGAAAATAAGAGAATCTTTACAACCTTGCGGTAGGTAAGGTTTTTAATAGAACATATAATGCACAAGTCACAAAAGAAAAAATGATAAATTGGATTTCAAAATTAAACAATTTTGCTTTTCAAAAGACAGCATTTTAAAAAATGAAAAACCAAGTCAAAGACTCAGGGAAAATATACCAAAAACAGAAAAAGGACTTGTAGCCAGAATATGCATAAAGAATACCACAACTCAGTAATAAGAAAACAACCCAATCTTAAAAATAGGCCAAAACTTTGAAATATACTTTATAAAAATGATGTACAAATAGCTGAAAAGCATGTGAAAACATGGATAACATTAGTCATCAGAGAAACGTAAACTAAAACCACAAGCTATCACAACACATAGATCAGAATGGCTCAAATTTCAAAGATATTCGTACCAAGTAAAGGTATGTGAAACAGCTTAAACTCTCATAAATCGTTGATAGGAATGTGAAGTAGTATATCCACTTTAGAAAACAGCTTGGTAGTTATTTTTTTGAATTACACATTTACCTATCATATGATAGACATTCTATTCCTAGGTGTTCACTCATGAAAAATGAAAACATATGTTTACACACAGATTTGTACATAAATATTCATAACAGCTTATTTTTAATAGCCAAACACTGCAAACAACCCAGATGTCCATCAGCAAGTAAATGGACAAACTAATTGTGATATATCTTTAACTGAAATACTACTCAGCCACAAAAAGAAATGAAACATGGGTTTGACTCTAAAAACCTATTGCTGTATTTCATCATATCAATAATTAAAGGGAAGAAGAGGATTATGATCATCAGTTAATGCAGAAAAAGGACCTTATAAAATTCAATATTCAGTCAGACATTAAAAATAAAGCAAACTAGAAGAAAGAAAGACACCGCCTTAATCTGATAACTAGTATCTTCAAACAAAAACCTACAGCAAACAGAATATTTAATGATGAAAAGTCAGAAGTGCTTCCTTTCAAGTCAGAAAAAAGCCAAGGCTGCCCAACCACCACTTCTATTCAACACCGAACTATTGGGAAGACAACTCAATAAGAAATAAAATGCATAACATTGGAAAGGAGAAATAATAACTGTTATTATTCAAAGGCAATGACATCGTAAACATAGAAAATCCAAGTTGTTCTATGGAAAAACTGTTAGAACAAATTTTTAAAATTCAGAAACTTGCTGGATAGAAAATCAGTGTCTTTCACAGCCATGTTCCAATTTATCAATAAACAAGCAATTAGAAAATCTGTAAAGGAAAACGTTGGTTTGCAGACTCAGGAGCTTCCTGGGTGAAATCTAAAACTGACCCTTGAACTCTGGCTGGTATGGCTCAGTTGGCTGGAGCATCATCCCATAACTGAGAGGTTGTGGGTTCATTTCTGGGTCAGGGCACATACCTGGGTTGCAGGTTTGGCCAGTCTGGGAGCGTGCAACCTCTAGTCCAGGCATATGAGGGGGGCAACCAATCAATGCTTCTCTCTCTCTCCCTTCTTCTCTCCCTTCCCCTCTCTCTAAAAACAATGAAAAAAAAGTCCCTAGGTAAGGATAAAAAAGTATATATGTAATAAATCTGACCCTTGTACAGAGAGGGCAAGGAAAGACTGAAGAAAGAGACAGACCACTCCAGGTGGGTGGGGGGCTGTTTTGAGTAAGTAAGGGAACTCATATACTCAAGGCAGTTGCAAGATAAGTAGAGCTCCTCACCCTGCTGCCATAATCTTAAAAGCCTATGTAGAGGCCTTAATGGAGTCCTGTCATATGCACAGTCCAGGCCATCTCAATAACACTCTACTCTCTCAAGGCTACATCCTTGAAACAGTCCCCAGGGTGGGAAGGGTGGGTAAACTGTACCTTCCAAGGACAAGGGCCGGGGTGAGGAGCCTCTGATTGCCCATCCAGCTCATGAGTCAACCAAAGCTCATGTCCTCTCAATGACTTTCTTCAACAAAAGTATGCTGTTACCCACAGAAAAGAAAAATGAGAATGAGAGTACAGTCAGAAAATATGTTGAAAAATATTCTGGATTGTGCATGAAAGTCAGATTTTTTTTCCCCAAGGGCAACATCTTGGGGCTCGGAAGAGTCTGATGCAGGGGGAGCCACAAAGAGATTGTCTGTGGAAGCTCACTCCAGCTTCAGTGGGTTCAGAAAAGCAAGGAAGGCTGCAAGCCCTTTCTGAACTGTGACTACACTTCTCAAACATCCTAAGGTAGCTACTGCCGAAAAAAAAAATAACCACCTGAAATCAACAGCATAAAATTCCCATTGACAATAAGTCAAATTCTGCCTTTCAATGGAAAAAGGAATTTATACAAATATGACACCTGATTACAATTTGTAAAATAAAGAGTTGAAAAATCTAGTGAATGTTGAGTTTATTAGAAGCCCACAGTGGGTTATAGTTATTGGGATAGCTACTTGAAAAAATTATAAAGTGAAGAAAGAAAGATAAAAGAAAATATTGCAAAAAACTACACGCCAACAAATTGGACAATCTGGACAAAATGGAATCTACTGAACAAAATAAACGAACAAGCAAAATGCAGAGGGACTCCTGGAGGCAGAGAAGAGCCTGAGAGCTGTTTGAGGGGAGGGTGCCAGGCCCTGGGGTGGGGGAGGGGGCGGGAAGGTGAAGGGATTATGCAAAACAAACAAAATACCTCCTAGACACAGACACAGCATAGTGGCTACCAGAGGGAAAGGGCGCGGGGGGGGGGGGGGGGGGGGGGTAGAAGAGGCTACAGGGGGCACCTGGCGATGGAAGGAGACCTGACCCGGGTGGTGAACACACAATACAGTGCGCAGATATTGTATTAGAGAATCGTACACCTGAAACCTACTTTTATTAACCAATGTCACTCCAATAAATTCAATTAAAAAATAATAATAAAAATAAATTTAACAATAAAACATGTCGGTGCTACAGTCAAGAGTCAGCCTACCAAGTAAGGCAGCCGCTGGATATCTGTTCAGAAAGATATAAAATTTCATTCACTAGGAGGCTCAACTCAGGCTTCTTAGGCTTATCACTAAAGTGCTCATATTAAAAAGTACTGAGAGAACAATAAATTAGGATACTTAGTATGCAGGGTCCGGCACAAATAACACCCCTTTTTTATTACAAAATCTTTTGTTACAAAATCATAAGCCTGTAATTTTCTAACATAACAATATCACACTCAGGCACACCATACGACAATTTAGGTGAAATGTTCAAATTAAAACTATATATTATTTCACTCAGATTATTACCCTACCAACCACACTCAAGCAGGCATTATTTCTACCAGACCCTCTATATATGGCCTGTCCGGAAAGTATCCAGCTATACACTATGAAAATAGAGATATTTATTGAAGAAGATACAAGACATATTGCACAAAGGACAATGACGCCTCAGTCCTCTTCCAAGTAGGGCCTCACAAAGTTCTCCCAATCGCCATCAGCTGCCCCATTGTATTTTCCTGAATCTCATCAACAGTGTGAAATCTCTTCCCTTTCAAAGGCGATTTCAGTTTTGGGAAAGGGCAAAAGTCACAGGTGCCAAATCCGGGCTGGAGGTGTCTGAGTCACCTAGCTGATTTGATGTTTTGCATGAGACGTGATACGTGCATGGGTGTGTTGTCATGATGAAACAGCCTATCACCAGTTGCCTGTGGCTGTGACCTTCTGAATCATGTGAATAGTTTCCGTGGAGGAATGTTCAAGCTTAATGAAAAATCTAACACAGATTTGTTGCTCTACTTGCTCAGTCCTTTTTGAATGCAACAACCACACAGTACACATGCTCATTCAACGGCATGTACCGCCCCCACTGACTAGTACAGTGAAGTCGTCATTGCTCGCACATGTGCATTCCAGTCCACTCTCCTTGGCTGCCAGGTTCCATCAGTGTGGTGCAAACCGTTCTCATTATATTAACAATTGTTGGACTTTTTCCGGACAGACCTCATATAGATTTACAGATCATCTCTAGATCTTTCTTCATTCCCGGGGGAGGTGAAGAGTCATGGAGAGGTTGGGTGTCTGGAGAAACAGCTATTTGTGAAGG